GAGGAGGAGGAGGAGGAGGAGGCGCGGGAATACCCGCTGGAATTCCGCCGGCAGCTCGGGGAGGGGGGGGAGGAAAAGCGGGAAGAGGGGAAATCCCGCTGGGAGTCGCCGCTGGACAAACGCTACGGGGGGTTCATGGGCTCGGAGAAGGGCAGGACCCCGCTGGTGACGCTCTTCAGGAACACCCTCGGGAAAAGCGCCGCCAAGAAGGGGCAGTGAAGCGGGAAAAATTCCCGCCGGGAATTCCACCCCCCCACCCCCCCCGGTGCTTCAGCGTCCCGCGGGAAAATCCCAAAGGAATTCGGGATTTTTTTTTCCTCCACCCCCCCCCACTCCCCGTCATTCCCGGAGCTTTCGCGCCGCTTCCCTCGGGAGAATGATCGCTCCTCGTATTCCCGGGATTTAGGGGCGGGGAGAGGGCGGGAATTAGGGATTGGAGCCCTTGGATGCGCGCGGGGAGCGGGATCGGCTCCCGAATCCCGGTGGGATGGGTTTGGGATCCCCCCCCCTCTCCGAGCTGTAAAATACTGTAAAAATGAGGCGGAAAACTTGGAAAATAAATCCAAATCCTAATTAAGAGGCGGTTTTTTGTGGAACGTCGAGAGGGACGGGAGCGAAGAAGGAATTCCAGAGTCATTCCTGAGGTTGGGAAGAGCCGGGAAAAGGGTTCAGGAGGATATCTGGGGATGGGGAGAGGGAATTTTGCAGCCCCGGGTTGGGAGCTCTGGGGGATCCAATCGGGGAGGGGGTGGGGGTGGGAAGTTGGGAAGAGTTTTCCAAGGGCAGAGAGGGATCCATGGAGACAACCAGGGCCGGGAATGACAGGCCCCAGGGAATGGATCCCAGTGGGAAAGGGGAGATCTGGGGGGGAGATTGGGAAGGGATTCCTGGCTGGGAGGGTGGGGAGGGGCTGGGCTGGAATTCCCAGAGAAGCTGTGGCTGCCCCTGGATCCCTGGGAGTGTCCAAGGCCGGGCTGGATTCCCTGGGATAGTGGGAAGGGTCCCTGTCCATGGAACAGGACGACCCTTAAGGTCCCTTCCCACCCAAACCATTCCATGATCCCATGACACAGATCCCAAGGGGAAATTCCTTCCCCCAGTTCCAGGGTTCCCTTGGATTTGGGGGACAAATCCTCCAAGGCTCCTCCCGGGCCACACCCCCAGAACTTTGGGAAGAGTTTTATTGGGAAGGGTTTTATTGATCCCTGAGCTGGGAATCCCTGGCTCAGATCCAGGTCCAGATCCAGAACCAGGTCCAGATTCAGGTCCAGATCCAAGTCCAGATCCAGGTTTAGATCCAGAACCAAATCCAGGTTCAGATCCAGATCCAGGTCTAGATTCAGATCCAGATCCAAGTCCAGGTCCACATCCAGATCAAGATCCAAATCCAGGTCCAGATCCAGGTCCAGACCCAGACCCAGATCTAGATCCAAATCCAAATCCAGATAAAAATCCATATTCAGATTCAAACCCAGATCCAAATCCAGATCCAGGTCCAGATCCAGATTCAGATCCAAACCCAGATCCAGGTCCAGATTCAGATCCAAATCCAGGTCCAGATCCAGATCCAGATCCAGATCCAGATCCAGGTTCAGGTTCAGATCCCGATCCAGGTCCAGAACCAAATCCAGATCCAGATCCAGATCCAGATCCAGATCCAGAATAAAATCCAGGTCCAGATCCAGATGGAAATCCAGATCCAGATCCAAATCCAGATCCAAACCCAGATCCAGATCCAAGTCCAGATCCAAACCCAGATCCGGATTCAAATCCAGATCCAGCTCCAGGTCCAGCTCCAAATCCAAATCCTGATACAAATCCAAATCCAGATCCAGGTTTAGATCCAGATCTAGATCCAGGTCCAGATCCCGATTCAGATCCAGATCTAGATCCAAACTCAGATCCAGATCCAAATCCAGATCAGATCCAGACTCAGCAAATCCCCGCCCGGCCCCGCCCATTCCCAGCGATTCCTCGGGACACGTTTGGATCCGCTCCCCGCAGGAGACGGCCGGAAAGGGGCCGGAATTCCCGGCTCAGCCGCTGGCTTTGGAACGCAGATATTCCTCCAGGAGCATTCCCAGCTCCGAGTTCTGCTGCTGCAGGAGCGTGGCCTGGGAGAGGAGCTCGGATCTCCGGCTCAGGACACGGCTGGGAAGGGACGCCGGGAATGTCGGGAAACGCCCCTCTGGAATGTTCCCCATCCCGCCCCCATCCCGCCGGGAACTCACTGGTATTCCAGAAGCGCCGCATCCAGAGCATCCCAAAGTTTCAGCTTGGGCTCCGGGATGACGTGGGCCAGCGCTTCCCAGTATTCCGCGTCTCCGGAGGAATCCCGGATATCCAGGGCTTCCCGGGCGGCCGCGGCCTCGGCGTCCCTGGAGGGGGGGGACACGGAGGGATCGGGATGGAGGGAGAAATCCTTGGGGATGGAGAAGTCTTGGGATGGAGGAAAAAGGTTTGGGATGGAGAACAAACTCTTGGGAACAAACCCTTGGGAATGGAGAACAAACCCTTGGGATGGAGAACAAACCCTTGGGAACAAACCCTTGGGATGGAGAACAAACCCTTGGGA